TTTACATCGATCGTGTGGAACTTTACTTTCAGGAATCTTAAACAGCTTCTTGTCCATCTTTATGTTAAGCCTTTTACATATCTGATAAGTCAGAATACCAAGGTTGGGAAGCGTCTTTATTTCGGTTCCTCCGCGTCGTGTACCTTTTTAGTGTTTTCCATGATTTTATTCCTATCCTCTACCGATAACATGGAGTATGTTATTCCCGTCCTCTTACAGAAGCCTTCGTATTTGAGTTTAATGTTGGATGTGTCTGCCGATGTCTTGTTCTGACGACCGCACTCGGTGTATTCCCAACCCAACGTCCGGAATACTTCTCTGCATCGATCGTGTGGAACTTTGCTTTCCGGAATCTTAAGCAGCTTCTCGTCCATCTTTATGTTAAACCTTTTACATATCTGATAGGTCAGGGTGTTGAGGTTAGGAAGCGGTTTCATTTTCGGTTCCTCTGCCTCACAGACTTTCTGAATGTTTTCTTCCATCAAACGCTTTTCATGCTCTGATAGATCAGAATGTGTTATTTTCCTTCAGGTACAAAATTATTCAAACCTATCGCTGATGCTCAATTTCTGACGTCTCATAATTACACTGTCCCGATAATCGTAACCGGGATCGTGAACCTTGCCGATAATCAGCCCACACTCACGACACGTCCATTCCCAGTTTATGGGGGCAAGTTGCTGCTTGCGTCCCTCGGAACAGAAGTGTTTGTTTGGAAACTCCACAGGTTCCTTTGAAGTAGGGAGATCTAAGTACTCCTTTTCCGCTTGCCTGAAGAGGACCAACCAATCCGGAGGATTTGACCTTAACCTACGCCGCTCTTCCATTAACTTACGCTCTTCTTCTATCGACCTACGCTCCTTTTCCATCAACTTACGCTCCTTTTCCGGTAAGTGACGAATCTCTCCTAACACTGTCCAACCTCGTTCCCAGGGGTTTTCGCTTTTTGTCATTGGGAAGGCGGGAAAAGACCCTGGCACCGGCCGGTCACATGACTTTCAACACCCAGATATAGTGGGTGTAAATAATTATAATAATAATGAATTAGAAAATCCATGATGGCCGCCAAACTAGGAGTGTCCAGAAAATTTAAGTGCTTAGAGCGGCTTAAAAATGCGTTTAGTCTTTGAAATTTTTCCTTCTTTTTGCTACCGACGTACTCGAAATCAGATTCTTCACCTTTTATTACATGGGAACTATGTAGTTGCTGTTCTTCCAACAGGGTTTGCTAAATATCGTTCGTTCGCTAAACAAAATTAACAGCCAACATATAATAGTATTACGACAGATCTTCTCCAGCTGGACAGGCTTGCCTAAGAGGACACGGAAAGCGTTTTGAACTGGGGATGTTAAACTTGGTTTTACCCTTCCAAAGACACTGCAGTGCGGCGATTGGAGCGAGTTTATGAGGAATATATTTTTATACAGTGATTCAAAGAAATGTTTTGCATATACTGTATATGTTAATGATCTATTGTTGAATGTCACTTATATTATAAAGTGCCAATGTATATTGATATTCTAAACACAGTTGAAGTGTTATATGGTCTTTCCTTGTTTACGTTTTTCTTGCAGCCAAATGTTGTTGAAGCTGGCAAGCTGCAAAACTGACATATGAGTGATATGACCCAAATATTGGATATGCATCTTAGTTTGCTTCCAGTAAAATGTAAACAAGACCTTAAGAATTTTATACGAGATAAGAAAGATTACGTTTAAAATCATGACTGGCAAATTAGCATGTGCGAATTGATGCTTCCTAATAATAGTATGTACTCCAGTAAAGCTTGCTTGCTTCAATTCTTGCTGTTACCATCTGCACATTGTCAGGGTGGAGAGTTGATTTGAATTTTTTGTCCCAGGGGATAAAGGTAGGGAATAGATTTTCCATCACAATAGGGGCAAGGTGCCCAACCAGTAAGAAGATGGCATGTACTTTTTAAGTGACCATTCATTATACCCTAGGGTGGGGTTGGAGATTCTTATGTCAAAATGTCATGGGACCCCTTTTTAATCTCTTAATTTAATAATGGAGACCCTTCCTAAATATTTAAGACTATATAACATGATTCAATTCTAATCTTCATTCATGTGAATGCCTGACTATGAAGAAAATACATTTTGCAACACAGGGATGGATCCAGCATGATCTGGTAGTGGTGGAGGAGGGGGGGGGGGGGCGGTGCTCTGCCAGCTCTGGTGACGAGTTGTGTCGGTCATGTGTGCCGCCCGCCCATCGACTTGCTTCACTACTGCAAAGTCTTGCTTTACTACTGTATTTGAATTGTAATTGTTGTTCACAGCTCGCTTATCATCATGTTATTACTCAAATTACTGTATCTCATTTTGCCTGTAATAATTTTTTGCTTTATCATGAAAAATAGCACCCCTCCTGCGCCCCCTCTGGCCAGGGCTAGGGGAGTGCACAGCTCCCCCCCCCCCAGGCCCAGTAAATCCATCCCCGTTGCAATATACACTAGAATGATTGCTGCCTTTGGATGATTTGTCTAAGAATTATATTACCTATATTACAACAATTCTTCCTATTCTGAAACCAGTTGCTATTCTGTTTTTACAACACTCACCCCCACCCACCCCCACCCCAAAAAAGACTCACCAAATCGAGAACCCCCTCCAAGGTAATTTTGTCAGCAAAATAGATTAAATTTGATGGTAATTGTTCTGAAAATATATTAACTCATTGAGTGGCAGCATTCTGCCTAGACTTGCCACAAGTCGACCTCGAACGAAACGCAAGGAGCGAGTGTGAGCCGACGTTTCGTTCGAGGTCGACTTGTGGCAAGTCTACATTCTGTCCTTGTAGTAAAATTGTCTGGCACCAGATGGAGTAATATACTAAAGTAGGGACATTGCCACTATAAAGGGTTAAACAAATTAAATTTTAAAAAATTTTGCAATGGTCTATATTCAAAAAGCTCAATTTGTAAATTTTAATTGACTTTAATTAAATTAATATAACTACTTATAATTATACCTACCAAGTGAATTCTACGGGAGGAGAGGGACATTGGAAATCCCTGGGTTTACTTGGTAAAATCAATAATTGAACCATGCATTACATGTATATGGAGAGCAGTTTTAAATACATTTTATGCAAATACCTTGATAATTGTTCTTAAACGTCTTTGGCTTAGAATGGGTACACCCTCCAAAGGTGTTTATTTACAGGGTCCAAAGGTGTAAATATACGCTGTCCAAGGTGTTAATATAAACAACAAAAACAATGTATATAATTAAATTTTATTATTATTAATAAAATGTGGAATATTTTACAAATTGTATTACCATCCCAAAGTGTACATAATTTATCAATATAATTAGGACTTAGAAGCTGTTCACATGAGTTTGACTCTGACCCAGCACCCTTGGCTAGCTCCTCTTGCCCGATCACAAGTAGAAAACCTCCAACCCCCTCTGACAAATCAGTCCAGATCTGCCCAAGAGGCAGGATTTTCTGGAATATTATTAGCAGTGAAATTGTTGCATATTTTCAAGCATGCATTGTAACCTGATTTTAAAGCCTGTTTCAACATCAGACATTGTGACAATGGCAGGATGGTCCAGCCATATGAATACAATCTTAAAATATCATAAAAACAATGCAATTTAAGGCCAGACAGCTCAACTCCTGTGAACAGCCCTTTATTACACATTCGAAGCACCTCTTGAGGCATCAAAGTACTGTACATGCAGGCACATGGAATTACATACGAGTATGTGACATAAGCCCACCATTGCACAACTTTGCCTGCAACAATGCAAATACAACAAATGCAAATACAATCAAGCTGGAAACGGATTTTATCAGTATTTTGATATATACATTATGGCTCATGTCTAAAGACACCTGCACTTTCATATTGAAATTGCTCTAATATCATCCAAACAAAACACATCAGAAAACTGTAACATCAGCCAAATGAACAAATCACTTTTTTAACACAATTTATGGTGATCCAAAATATCGTCGCATTTCTAGTGGTAACTAACTATAAATTAGGTCAATTTAAACTCGACTATGAAGAATATCAAAAACTAAAGGTCATGTTTCAGTTTATAAACCCAGACTTTTATAGTTCTATAAATATAAACATTATAACGCTATACGAAGCCAAATATGAAGGCACATTTTGCCCTAAATACTCGGTCAGAGCCTCAGAGGTGTGTTCTAGTACACAATTAATCTTCTCTCATAGTTTAAAACAAACAATAATACTAACCTTCGACAAAGTGTGTATAAATCTTATCGAATTTAACCATTTTGCCACAGATTTTGCCAAAAATATTTCTTAGGGGCTGTTTATATGAGGCGAGCCAGCTCGGGTACCCGAGCTAGCTCGCTTTAGGCGGGATCCCATCTTTGTTAATATTTCCTACTAAATTTCATGTTGCGTTTATATGAGAACCGAGCTGGCCCGCCTAACCGAGGTCCCGCTTCGTGTGACCCGAGACTCGGGTAAACGGGCTGGGTAGTTTTCCATATAAACGCAACAGGAAGGGCTATCCCTCCTAGTAGGGCTGGAAATTTAGCAAATACGCATGCGCAATTAATTAGAATAATTCAGAATGCACAAACAACTCCCATATAAGGAACTAACTTCCATATATGGAGTAGTTTACGCAAAAAAAAAATTAGAACACGAAGAGCCAGCCCTTGATGTAAGTTTCATGTAAACGCGTGGTGAAATTCATCTCGGGGATGCGAGCCAGCTCGGGTACCCGGGCTGGTTCGCTTCCATATAAACAGCCCCTTAGACGGACGAAGTATTAATAATGGCACTCCTTGCATGAAACGTTAATTTATCTCAAAGTTTGAATAAATTAATCCAAGATTGCATTATTTGCATAATAATGTACTTATCATTGACCAATCAGAATACATAGAAGACCGGTCGGTACCAGGGCCTTTTCCCGCCTTCCCAATGACAAAAAGGGAAAAGCCCTGGGAACGAGGTTGCCCACGTCCCACCAACTAATTAATGGTCCCCAAGACACCAGCCTACCATGCTAGTGCTGTCTCTATGAAATGGTTTGAATCATATCTATCGAAACGCTCTCAAATCTGTTCCGTTGCTGGGTCATTATCTGCGCCACTTACTCCATCTTGTGGTATCTCTCAGGGATCAATACTTGGCCCCGTTTTGTTCTCCCTATATATGAATGATCTACCCTTAAATATACCTGAAGCAAATGTTGATGTCTATGCCGATGATACAACACTCTGGAAATCTAATGGTGACTGTATTAAAATTCAAAATGATTTTCAGAGTAGTCTTGAATGTGCAAATGTCTGGTTTAAGCAAAATCATATGAAACCTAATATTACGAATACTAAACATTTGCTCATTGGCACTCACCAGAAGTTGCGACACGCAAATATATCTTCTTTGGAACTTAACCTAAATGGAGTACTTATTGAAGAAGTTAAAGACGAAAAACTCTTGGGTGTAAAATTAGACAAATATCTTAGTTGGAATGATCAAGTTAACTGTTTAATGAAAAAATTGAACTCGCAATTTTTCTTATTGAAGAGAGCCAAAGGTTATCTGTCTATTTCTGGTAGAAAGATGTTGTATAATGCATTGATTAAATCAACACTGGAATATTGTTGCACAGTTTGGGGCAATTGCTCAAACGAACAACTATTAAGACTTTTAGGATTACAAAAGCGTTGTGCCCGCTTAATCCTTGATGCGAATCCATCTGATAATTCAGTAGCACTATTTAATACATTAAAGTGGATTCCCATAGATGACACTATTCGTGTACATAAATTGTGCATGATGTATAAAATAATCAATAAAATGTGTCCACAGTATTTTGATAACTATGTAAGTTATATTAAGAATCGGCATGAATATTGTACTAGAGCATCTTCTAATATGAAATTAGTTGTACCGAAATGCCATACAAGATCTGGACTTCGTTGTTTTCATGCTAGTGCTGTTCGTCTCTGGAATGAACTTAATGTAGGGCCTTTTTTAACATACAAGCTGGGGGGCATTTACCCCCCAGTTCCCCCTCGTGCTCCCCTACGAAATCACCTTTTGCGCCCCCAGGAAAAGTCCCTTTTTCCTAAATTTATACCAACAAAACAGCGAAGAATAACAAATAAATAAACGGAAAGTAAGTTTTAGGCTTTATCCTTTGTCCTTGTTTAACAAAATCGATCTAAATTGTTACGTTTTTCTACCACTAAGTAATGATAAATTATTTTTAATAATTTTTTTTTTTTGGTTGCTCAGAAAGCAGGAAAGAGCATTCCAGGTTTCAAATTTGAAAAATTTTCTGGAGATTATGCCCCCACACACGTGGCCTTCGGCCATTGGTATCCCCCTCTAATAAGTTTAATGATAAATTACGGTTAATATTCTTTTTTACATTTTGTGCATTTTTTCCTTCTTTTATTTCAAATACAAGTATAGTGAGCATAAATTTTAGAGCAATAATTTTTTTTTTTTGGTTGCTCAGAAAGCAGGAAAGAGCATTCCAGGTTTCAAATTTGAAAAATTTTCTGGAGATTATGCCCCCACACACGTGGCCTTCGGCCATTGGTATCCCCCTCTAATAAGTAATGATAAATTACGGTTAATATTCTTTTTTACATTTTGTGCATTTTTTCCTTCTTTTATTTCAAAATACAAGTATAGTGAGCATAAATTTTAGAGCAAATTTGGATGCTCAGAATGCAGGAAATGGCATTTCCG